TCCCTCTGTAAGCTCGCCCCCTCTCTCTCTTGTGCTAGTTTGCGCTCCCTCCCTTTCTAAACCTTCCCCCTCTCCCTCTTGAGCCCTAATAACTGGTTTGCATGGTTCTCCCTCTCTCTTTAACGAGTTATTTTGGTGTGGATAAACCCTACCTCTTTATTCAACTCCAATGCCTTAAAATTTTCTAATTTTCTACTGTAATTACCAAACCTTGTAGTTTACTAATCACACTTCTTCCCATTTTTTAACTTGTATCATAAATTTGAATTGAGTATCATAAATTTATTGCTTATTTGAAATTATAAAGAGATATTTGAAAGACTTCTATAAAAAATAAATAAAAATATGTCATTCCAATCATATTATTCCGATGACTTATCATGTTGAAACCAAAGTCTAATCATGTTAGAAGACATGTAATTCCATATAAGTGGCAAAGGCATGCAAAATAGGTAGGAAATGGTGTGATGATGATTTTAGAATGGTACAAGTTATTATTAAAAAATATTTTTGGAATGGTCATGACGTTATTATTAGAAAATCTTTTTGGAATGGTATGATGATGACTTTAATTCCACATTTTCAGTGGAATTTTGTGACAAAAAAGAAAAAAAAGATAATTCATAAGCAAGTGCTGGTAAAATGTTGGCAATGCATTTCCCATATTCCTTCCCGACATAGCCAAACAATAACAATGCATTTCCCAGGTTGTATCTAAATACTACCCAAATAGTAACAATCCATTTGTAGGTTATGTATTACGCAGTAATAATACACCAGTAATATATTTCACAGACAATATATTTCCAGGTACCCACACGGTCCCTTAAAGTGCACCTCCAAATTTTGTCATAACATGTAATTTTGGTGTAAACAATTCATAGGATTACCTGAACATCTATTTTTTTTATCTAATTATAAAATTTTAAACTTCAAAAATGGTTAAAATCAAATAGATCTATAATTATATAAAAATCTTGAAAATGCACAGTCTAGATAATGTGTTGCAAGATACACTATTTATGGGACTCAAAATCTTTGTTTTTTTCTTCATATTCATACATCTCGATGTCGAGATGATCAATTAAAGGGTTTCAACATTAAAACAAACGTTTCCTATGGATTTTTGAGGTGCATCCGTAATTCTACATTTTAAGCTTGCAACCTTATATACACTTCCCCCCCCCCCCTCCACACACACACACACACGCATGCACGCACGCACACACACACACACACACATACACACACACTCTCCAAACAATCAAATTAGAGCCTACTTTCAAATAGTATCGAGAAATGTGGTTTCAATATTTGAAATCTTTATGATAGCCTTAAAATATAGTTTCATATTTATTTACGAAGTTTAAAGCTTCAAAAATAATGTAGATTGATATATCTATGAAAAGTTGAAAATTAATGATCCAAAAATGCATTACAAAATACACTATTTCTAAAACTTGCAATCCATTCTTTTCTCATGTCCATGCATCTTGATGTCAAGATGATCAATTTGAAGATATTTGGGAATCCAAACAACCTCTTCTAGTGAAAGTTTGGAGGTAGGCTCAAATTTGATTGTTTAGAGCCTCAACTCTATATAAACTTTTCCCTATATATATATATAAATTTTTTTATGTTATATATGCATGTAAAGTCGATTCAAATTAGTAGACGTGAGATACAAAAAAATGTAGGGTTCTAGATCATATTAATTGCATTAAGAGTGAGAATCAAAGAGTTTTAGTGAATGATATAAAGGTCAACGAATGGTAGAGATTTATTTTTAAAAATTATTAAATGACGAACACAATGGGAACATAGTGGTAGAAGGAACCATTGGCATAAATGAGGGTGGAGATCATAGATACATTGGTAAAATTAAGATATTAGAAGTGAAAAAAGCTTTGAAAAAGATGAAGAAAGGAAAGGCTTGGAAGATAGGATCAGATGGTATCTCGATAGCGGTTTGGACGTGCATGAGGGAGATTGACATTAAGTAACTGACCAAGCTGTTCAACAAGGTGTTGAGAACAAAAAAAATGCCAGATGAATGGAGGAAAAGTACTATGGTACCTATTTACAAGAACAAAAGAAACACATAGAATTGTGTAAACTATTAAGGGATCAAATCTATGAGCCGCACTATGAAGCTCTAAAAGAGAGTGATTGAGTAACGATTAAGACATGAAATAAGAGTATTTAAAAACTAATCCGATTTTATGCCAGAGAAGTCAACAACCGGGGCTATTTTCCTACTTAAGCAACTGATTGAGAAGTTTAGGGAGAAGGAAAAAGACCTCCACATTGTCTTTATTGATCTAGAGAAAGCTTACATCGAGATTTAATTTGATGGGTGTTGAAAAAGAAATGAGTCTTCAGACATTACAGCGACTTGATAAGAGATATGTACGATAGAATACTAACTCATGTACTAACAATTAATGGAGAGATGAGTGAGTTTTCAATGACAATAGGTTTACATAAATTGTTAGCATTGAGCTCATACCTCTTTGTCTTAGTTATTGAGGACTTAACTAGGCATTACAAGATGAAGTGTCGTAGTACATGTTGTTCGCAGATGACACAGTTTTGATCAATGAGACCTGAACCAGCGTCAACACAAAGTTAGAACTTTGGAGGGTTGCTCTAGAATCTAAAAGTTTTAAAATTAGCCGGACAAAGACATAGTATATGAAATGCAAATTTAATAATAATAGGAGTAGAGATGGGCAATAGTTAAGAATGATACTCTACTAACTAAGTGGTGATGGAAAGTTAAACCTAGGATGGAATGGCAAATGGTGACCTTTTCCAAATATGGCAAATATCGAAAGGAAAATTGTTCATGTGGGTTGGACCGCATGACTACATATGCGGTCCAAAAAGTCTAAAGCATCCATCTTTAGTAGGTGTTCCGTCTAAAAACAATAGAACCTAACGGTCCAAATGTTTTCTTACTAGAATTATTATTTCTAATTTTTAAAATTTACTTATATTTTCATATTCATGATCTCCATGTTAGAGATTACATGTCTTTAAAAATTAAGTCAAAAAATCCATCTAAAAAATATACTTTTAATAGGCCCGCATTTCGACATATGCGCGCTTGGCCGCATAGAAACCAGGCCCATATAAAAAATGTTTCCTATCCGAAAAACTAAGCAATGGCAATTCTTTTTCAATGATTTGGAAAGGCATTGATTCAGTCAAGAATCTATGTCTTATGTTCAGTACAATCAGGGCTGGTTTAGGTGATAAGACTAAGTTTTGGTTAGGAAAACGGATGGGCAATGCCCCGCCAAACTGCAATCAATATCAGACCTTTACAGACGGTCTTCTTCCAAACAGGCCTACCTTCAGATATGGGATCTAATTGTATATGGAATGTTGACCTGAGGGTGAGAAGAGTACATGCAGCCACAGAGCAACAATATTTATCCGTAATGCAGAAACTTTATTCATTCTTCTACTTTTCAGGTAGACATGACTCCATTATTTGGAAGCTAACATCTAGTGGAACTATCTCGGTAAAGTCATTGTATCAGGAGATCAACTTTGATAAAATTATTGAGATGAGCAATCAAAATACAAAAGTTTGGGCCATTAAGACCCCCAGAAAGGTTAGAGCATTTCTTTGGCTCCTGGAACATCATAGAGTGTTGATTGGGAGCAATTGTGAAAGAGGGGGAAAATTCTAGTCAAGATTTGCATTCTCTGCAAACAGGATGCAGAAAACAGCAATCACGTGTTCCTAAAATGTCCTTATGCTTCATCTTTATAGAATTGGGTCTTAAGCATTTCGAAACGGCAATGGCTAATGCCCCAGAATATTCACCAATTATTTGTTTTTATTCTAAAAGACACCTTTCCCAAAGACTAGAATCCTTCTGTGGAGAATCTTAATTCCAGCTATTCTATGGTCATTATGGAAGGAGAGGAATTCTAGAGTTTTTGAGGGACTTTCAAAAGCACCAGCAGACGTTTCTCGAGTTGTCCTGAGGTTGGTAGTTCATTGGGCACAAGCCTCTTCAAACCTGAAAAGCTATCTCAAGGAATTATTTTTTACGAACTTTGGTGATCTCCTCAACATCCATATGAAGAAAGCTGTTAATTTGCAGAGTCGAAACCACCTCCTGAGGGATGGCGCAAATTGAACTTTGACGGTAGTGTTTGCACAGTATCTCAAAAAGCTAGCTATGGAGGCATCCTCAGGGACTCACAATGGAATGTCATTCTCACCTCAATGGCCAGCTTAATTTCTGTGACAATAATGAGGCAGAATTGATGGCGGTTAAATAAGATGTTCTTAAGCTCTAGGTAGATCATGCTCACGTCATTATCGAGATAGATTCTGCAAATGTAGTCCAGTGGTGTGCTCATCCAAGCCTTGTCCCATGGCACTTGACCTCTATAACGGATGAAATCGATTTAGCCACACAAGGCAGGGAGGTGATCTTAAGTCATATCAACAGAAAAAAAAATGGAGATGCTGATAACCTCACTAAATTAGCCACTATCTAAGCCCTTCATCTCTGTTTTGTTACCTTTTGTTTTTTTCTCTTTCCCTTCCATCTCTTTCTCTCTTCTGCTCTCTTGTTCCTTTTGTTTTTAGTTAATCACCTTTTGTCATCATCTCTCATTTCAATTAAGTTACCATTAATATTAAAAAAAAAAAAGGTTCTAAGCCACTGATTAATAACAGGTCAATTTTACAAATAATAAATAAGAAATATATATTAATAGAACATTTCACACCACATGAAGAATGATCATTCAGCCTTTCAGGGAACTGCTCCAGTCCCCATGGGGTCCATAAAATTAAAAAATTAAATAAATTTCAGCAAAATTTTTAATAAATATGGATATATAAAATGAAAGAAGGAATAAAATCAGATTATCGCATAATTAAAAAATAATTATTTACAAATAAAAAAATGGATTACTTTTAACTGTTTTATATTTCCCCAATCGGAATCCAAAGGTAAGAAGCCATGAAGAAAAGGATAAAAAAATAAAAATTTATTTCATTTTGAATTTCCTTTCTCAAGTTTCTCCCTCTGTACCAGAGGGATAGTATAGCAAGAGAAGCACTACATGCCTTACATTCTCTCTGTAAAGCTCTTGCTACACATACACGATCTATTCTCTCACTAATAGTTACATAGTTTCTTGAAGAATCTCCATCCCCATGTTGGATCTAACCTCTAACAAAACTTCATATAGAGAATTAAAAAGGAACCCATCCTCCTACCTTCTAAAAAGTTGTTTTAGATCTACAAAACAACTAAAAGAATTAATGCCACCATGTTAACTTGTTGACGCTCTCTCTCTCTCTCTCTCTCTCTCTCTCTGACAAATCTTCAGAAATAACGCAACTCCAAATTCTAATATGCTTTAATGATCTACCAGAAAAAATCTCTCTTTTATCTTCTATAACAGACCAAGAACGCCATCAAATTAATCAGAAGATTATCTCAAGTCCAATCACCACCATTTCTTGCTGCAACAAACAAAACCAACCCCTTACTTTCTCTTCAGTTTCTGCCCTCATGGCAACCCCCCCCCCCGCTCTCTCTGCTTAAGTCCCACAGTTTCTTGCCTCAAAACAGAAAAAAAGGCAAAAGAAAAAGAACCACCCCTTCTCTCTCATCATATTCGACTAATCCACTTTCCAGTCCTACTCCTCGAGTAACGCCTGCCTTTATGAACCTTCAATCGAATTGATGGGACCTTTCGAGCCACCACCTTCCATATCATCTGAACTGCATCATCAGGCTGAGATGGGTATTGATACTCAAAGTGTTTCTCAATCTCTATTAATCTCCTCCACATTCTAGTCCACTCTCTCTCTCCGATACTCCTTATTACTCTCATCAAAAAACCTTCTTTCAAAGCATCAGAAGCTCTCAAGAACACACAAAATTCAGAGTAATCAATAACATCTTCATACGGGAGCTCTATCTCATCGCTTATAATAACAGGAATGCAATGGCTTGCTATGGCATCAAACAGTCGGTTCGATGAAGGGGTATCGCCTGCTATGTTTAAGCAAAACTTTGAAGAGTGCATACCTTGGCTCGCTTGGTTAATGCCGCTTCCCTTGGCACTACCAAATGCGAAATGTACATCCTTTTCATCTTTGAGAAGATAGAATAGCTCTTGTCGAATAAAACCACCCTGAATAAAGAGAAACAAATGCAAAACAAGGAAATAATTAGTGGGAATGGATAATAGTGTTGTGAAGACTAACTTTTGTTCGAAAAAACTGCCTTAAACTGTAAAGAATAAAAATGGAAAAGAAAAAGTAATTGGTGGATTCAAGATCAATGTTATAAAGAATCTTCTGGACATTGAACTGCAAAAGTTGCAGGTTAGTTTAATAAGGTTGGACTGCCGCTACTATCGGTTGGATGATTTAATATGGTTAAAAGACAATACAATCAAGTGGAGACTTGTTATGTTATAAATGCTGTGTGTGTGTGTGTGTGAGAGAGAGAGAGAGAGAGAGAGAGAGAGAGAGAGAGCATATATTCCTGTTAAAGGGTGAAGTTCACAAAGTTCTACACACACGGATTTACTCATGTGCACATCGCCCATCAATATTTTTTTAACTCGTCTAGGGCCTTGGACTCGGGCCTGGCCTGAGGCGAGTAACCTAGCCGAGTAAGTGTATAGGACCCAAAATGCCCCAAAAAAGAAATAAAAAAATAAAAAAAATGTTAAAAATAAAATAAAACTTGTAAAAGTTAAACAAAACCAATGGCAACTAAAAAATTCCAAAAAGAAATAAACTAATATATATATATATATATATATAACAAGAATTTAGAAAAAAAATGATTTATGGTTGGAGACGTTTTTGAAAAAACCAAAAGAAGAGGAAAAGATAAAAATAAGGCATATGACAAGTAAAACTCAAAAGTCATTGTAAAAACATCCAAATTGTATATAAAATTTTTATACATTGATTCCACATTTTTATATATTTTTTAGGGAAAATATCATACAGAACCCTAATTTTCCATTTTATTTCACGGTAGACCCTCCTTCCAATTTTCTTTCAAACGGCATAAATAAACCCTTAAATATTTTACCCAAACTCCTCATCCCTTATTTCCCCATTTTTTCACTTTTGGCTATTAAAACTAACCCCAACAAACTATTTTATTCCGTCTCAATCCAAAATCCTTTTTAACCCTCCTTTCCCCTGTTTTCATTTTCACTACGGTAATCTCTCTCTCTCTACTATGGCGAGGGCTCTCTCTCCATTCACCGCAGTGGAGTCTACTCACTTCTCACGGTAAGTTTCTCTTTCTCTCTACTCTCTCTCTCCCTACCTTCAAAACCTCTATGGCCCTCACTATCTGGTACTCTCTCTCTCTCTCTCTGCCTTCAAAACCTCCATTTTCTTATAGAAATCAGGGTTCTTGTGTATCTAAATTTTGTACAATGCATTTTCAAAATCTAAAAATATCAAGCACCTAAGAATTTATAGAGGAAGGAACCCATTTGCAGCAGAGGCACCTGTTTATGGTCTTACAGAGAAACATGTTCTCAGATGTTAGAGGGAAACACAATTTCACATTTAGAGAGAAAAAAACCAATCTGCAGTTTTAGAGAGAGAAACATCAACAAAAGATGGAGAGTGAACTGGACAAACAGGAAAATAGAGGAACTCGTGAATAATACAAGACAGAATAAAATAGTTTGTTGGGGTCAGTTTTTATAGCAAAAAGTGAAAAAACGGGGAAATAAGGGATGAGGGGGTTGTGTGAAATATTTGAGAGTTTATTTATTCTGCTTGAAAGAAAATTGGAAGGAGGGTCTATTGAAATAAAATGGAAACCTAGGGTTTTGTATGATATTTTCCCTAGTTTTTATGATTTCTTTTTTAGTGGCCCGAGTTGCATCCGTGTTCTCAGTTTAGCAAGGAGCCGAGTCTGAGTGGACTTGGCAGAGTTTCAAACCATTGACATGGCAAATTAGGCTAATCATGGACAAAAGCTCAATATGCTTGATCAACTCCAAAATTTCATGACTAATATAACAGTGTTCCTCTTAACCTTGTTTGTCTATTGAAACTGGGAGAAATCAAGTCAGCTGAAACAGGGGAACTAATAATTACTAACTTTTCAACATCCCAATTTACGCTTTCATCAAGAACTTAGCCATTCGTTTTCAGAAATTCCATCTATCTTTATGACAAAAAAAAGAAAAGGCCAAAATACCACCCAGAATCACCACAATCCAGAGTGTTTTTTTAAAGAAATAGGATAACTATATTAAACATAAAAGTAGTTAGACCAAAGTTTCTAACCTTAACATGCAAGCGCTGGTTCTGGTTGTAAGGCATAGGCCCCTCAATAAATTACATATAAATGTTTGAATCTGCTAAGAATATGTTATCGAGCCTTCCTTTACTTCATAATAAAAAACCAATCAAGGACGGTATGGTGTGGGAGATATAAAGCCCCAGACTATAGAAAAGGTCAAAAGATGAAGGTTCATAGCACATTTCATAGGTTGTAAGCCTTTTCTTGAGTTTTGATTCTTAAGCAATCTAACATAGGTACAAGCTCGTTGTGGTACCATGTATAATATCCCCAAATTTTAAAGGTGGTAACCAGGGCAAAGAGTGTTATTTGAAAGCCACTTGAATACTTCTAGGATTACCATGTCACCAATATGTGGCGATTGACAGTTTAAGCCAGTGATGGCCACTGATATAGAAAGGCACCTATTGAAGGTAGTTGAATCAAACAATTAACAATATGGCTGTCGTTATTTAAGGATGTAAACGCTCTCAAAAACCACTCTCCTTGAAGAATTGCTGCTAACTTTACCAAAGAAAATTACTTTAGTAGTGCTAGAAACTATTCAAAAGAGTTGAATTGATCTGAATCATCTCATTAAATTATCCATCTCTATTTATCCATGATAGCATGACTCATATAGAGGTTAAAGAACGAAAAAGAAATGGTTGTTTAGTGTTTTATTTCAGGAACAAGCTGCAAGGTTCAAATCCTTGACCTCCCTCTTGCAAACTAAAGTCTTCCTCTAGACCAAAATCCTAAGGGACAATTCCTTCTTAGTTTTAACTTTCCATGCCCAAGTACCATTTCCAATGATATGGAGATTAACTGTGCAACCTTGCAGATAGCACTTGGGTGTCAGGCCGACTATGAATAAACAATGTAAGAGCATAGAGATATAATCAACAAAGTAGCTTAAGCATTTTGAACATTAAATGATTTTTAAACTGAATATATTGTGCTTACAATTTTCTGAGATTTTTCAATGATGTCGGCAAAATATCATTCTCTTCCACAACTCATGGAGAACCTGTCACCACCTTAAGTGCAATGAGAAAGAGCCAACCAATCTAGACGAGTGTTTCTTACAGCTAGTACTCGGTTCTTTTTGGACCATGCAGTTTCTCATAGCAATGCTAAGGCAGCCTGCCAACCCCATTGACTAAAGACATGAAAGGCACAAAAACCATTTCTGGTATTGTCTTTATAAGCCTTCTAGAATGACAATGAACTCAAGTTGATAGCAAGCATGAACCTCATCACCCTTTTTCGAAAACTGTCAACGAGGACATACTTCTTTGTTTGATGGTGTACCAGCATCAAATTTGAATGCCAGCTACATCCAATTCTTCAAACCCTGCTTCACTCCTAGGCAACTCCAAATCTACATCCCTCTTCAATTGCATTAGGTATTAATCAAAGTACAAAAGGGCTCATAATAAGCAATTGAAGAGACACTTGGTGACCAGAGAGAATATCACCTTTCAAACCCGTATATCCAGCTTCTTAGTGGTTCTCCCACTCTACAAGTGGATTTCATCTCTTTTCTTTTCTCATCATTTATGCCTGGTACCTGGCAGTTCCACTAGTCTAATCAAATAAGAATAAGTGGCGAGCCTCTATAATCCTAGTCCTTGGACATTGTATAATTACTCATTAAGTCAGGGTGGTCAGCTCAGGGGTTCAATCATATAGACACAACCTGTGTTGGAGGCCCACATGAAGAGAAAGCAGTGGTTTATTATGATATGTGGAGTCTTCCTTTACAACTGTGCACCTCTTTAAATCATGAGAGAAATCATAAATTATGCAAGGTTGATGAATCTCCATTGACAAAATTCCAATAAATTCTATAATCAAGAAAATATGAATTGAATCAACAAATGGCTTAAAAGGTTATGAATTGGTGAACATGATAGAAGTGACTGTGCTTTCTAATGCTACAGATCAATCACTAAATGCTATTTGCATCTCAAAATACACACATAGCAGAGAGAGAGAGAGAGAGAGAGAGAGAGAGAGAGAGAGAGAGAGAGAGAGAGAGAGAGAGAGAGAGAGAGAGAGAGAGAGAGAGAGAAGAAGAAGAGAGAACGAGACGAACGACGTAACGTAACGTAAGTAACGTAACGTAACGTAACGTAACGTAACGTAACGTAACGTAACGTAACGTAACGT